AACTCATTAGGCAGATCAATTTTTTTGGCTACTTGCATAATTGTTACATCGTATTAAATTCGGTATCAAACTTATATTAATAATAAAAGTTTCATATCTTGAATATTGAAAACGGGTTTAAATTATTTACTTGCATATATTAATATTGATATAAATCCGGTTCGGGTTTTTTTTTCTAGATCTGAGATAAAAGCAACTCTGTTACACTTAAACAATTGATTAATAAGAATTGTTACATGGTGTCTTCTTATGTCGCCTGAATTAAAATGTATGTTATTGGTCTGTAATTTATATATGCGCCATTCGTGATAATTATCTAATATGTTTATTTTGCATGCCATACTCGATAAAAGTGCGGACGTGATAGAAAGCACTCTTTACCAAAACGTCAACGGAGATTACATTCCACGGAGGTTACATTTCGATGATTTCATCATTTATAAAGCATAATATGTGTATCTGAAGATAGAAGTTGTACTAAAATTTAATGTTGACACCGATATCGATCTGCTGGATGTAGAATTTATTTTCAAAATTGGTGTTTGTTTAGAATAGACCATTCCACGGAGATTACATGCTTAACAAATCTCTGCAGTTTTCAACTTTTCTTAGTTTTTCAGACTGATATGATTTGAAATAAATGACCATTGTTATAAACAAAATTATTTATGGTAACCTTATAATCAAATTTAACTCATATCACACTCTATGTTGTGCTGAATATTTTGTCCTGCTTGATCTTTTATCCGTTAACGGAAATTACAGGTTTACGAAGAAAACATTTCGACGGCCGGTACGATCACTATCGTGTTGCAATATGTACTAAACTTTGTAAAAATTTAAAATATAGATAATAAAGAAATATAAAAATCTCAGAAATAAGTATAACAAGCTACGGGTATATAATTCGAAGTCGTTAGTTTTGCTTTATAACGGTGGGACAAATTAACGTCATAAAATGGGCGCTTTAACGGAGAACCAGTGCTGAACGTCATGTCTTGAGTTTACGTCGTACCAACGTTGTGGGAACGTAAAAATCCAACGTTGGATGCAGACGTACAGACGACGTTATAAAATTACGTCAAATTTACGTAAATTTAGTACCCTGTCAGGACGTAACATTTTATTACGTTGTGACAACGTGCTTATAACTGTCATAATCCGACGTAACATTTTGTTACGTCGTATCAACATTATAATAACGTAGTGAACAAACCCTGTGAATACCAGTGACACATTTAAATCTGGTTTTATGGGACGAATTTTGTGGGTATGAGTCTTCCTGGATATAACATTCACCTTCACTAGAATATATTCACGATTTTTTCGATTTTCAAAATATCCCCCTTTTTTCCCGCACAGACATAATTTGCACCAAAATGTCCAAGAAAATAATATGAGGCAGGCATTACCTGTGAAAGGGGACGAAGTCTATATAAATTATTTTTTTTAATTCAAACATATTTTAAGTTCTAAATCTGTTAAAAAAGAAACGGAAATACCGTAACGTTTCCGATTTTGGTTCTGTTGTTAGGGATTTTAGTTGTGACGTTATTTTAGTTATGACGTCATATTCAATGTAAACAAAGAAACGCTATCATCAGGTAACGTTTTTTCATATCAAAGAATGATTAGAAATGAAATTGTTATTGTGTTCCTTCCTATATTTTACTGGAGTGAAAATATATATTTCACTCAAAGTCTCATGACAAACGAGACCGGAAGAAGGAAGTAGATTTCTGCGCAAATGCGGGAATTAAAAAAAGTTACAAAAAAAAAGTTAACGATTTTGAGTTCATTAGTACAATGAAAATTTCGGGAAATTTTCCCGATTTTTTTTTTTTTTTTTTTTTTTTTTATTGATTTTTCTACTGTAATAGGGGACTTCGTCCCCTTATTACAAATCCAATTTTATTGTTCTAATATATATATTTTGTATGAATATTTATTGTTTAAGGGACTGGTCAAAATTTCTTGATGCATGGGACCGGTGCAAAAAGAAAATTGTCTGAAATAATTCTCTTGATCCCATGGTTACTGGCAGAATAAAAATATGCTTGTCCCATGCACTTTACCTAGTAAAAAAGTGTGTGTCCCATGTTAAAGCACAAAAAACATGATCAAAGTTGTGGATACATTTCATGCTACAATGTATTTGGATAGCTGAAAAATAATGCTACTATGTGTGAACTGTATCTATATTGCTGTTATAAAGTAAACAAAACAATACATAAGCATATTTTATTGCCAACACAGATGACAATATATTATTGACTATAAATGATACATGCAATATTAAACAATTAACATGTATGAAGTGTATGGTAGAATACATTTTTTTCAAAAAAATTGCAGCTTTATTTAGAATCTGACTATTCTAAATTAACAGTGGGTAGGTAAATTCTGCTTTATGGGAGGACAGAATTATATTTGACAATCATGCTTTTTTGTGCAGAAACACTATCCATGAATTCGTTTTTTTTACATTTGTTAAACAGTTATACATGTAAAATATCTAATCAAATTTTTACATATTTTTTTTAATTTTATATCAAAGTATTTTTTCATGTTTATTCTGTTCCAAAGTTTTTTTTTGTTGCCTTCACTGTTCTTTAAGGGACTGGTCAATATTTATTGGGGGGTTGGGACCGGTGCAATTCATATTTCTCCCTTAAAAAAAGCTATGTCCTACCCTCTGAATATACCAAAAAAAGTCTATTACTACTGTATTCATCATTTAGTATTATTATCATCATTGTCATTATCACTGTCAGAACTGTCATAGGCTCTTATTACAAGGTCATCTTCTTCATCACTTTGGATTTGTTCATTATCTACACTTCAAACTGCCCAGAGTCTGAAAAGACCAGATTTTGTGCTCACATTTTACTTGACTAGTCACGGCATTGTCTCGACATGTTGATATATATTATATGAATATATCAAAAAGGGATCAAACATTAAAGAAATTATTAAAATTGTCCTTCTGATTAAAGTGGTGAAGTATAAAGCAATACCTCCTGCTTGGGGCAAAAAGATCACATACACCTCCCAGAGAGTATTAAATTCTAAATAACATTCATTCAAAATTGCAAACGTCCTGTTAAACTTAAATCGCAAGGCCTTTTGAATTCACTAGATAAGCAGGTAAACGGACAGAAAGTCACAGGACAAAAAGTCTCAAATTTGATAGGACAAAAAGTCACAAATTTGATAGGACAAAAAGTCACAAATAATATGTATACACTTGTTTGAATATTTTAGAGAAAGATCTTTAAATATTTACTTTTTATTGCATATATTTATTTTACAGTTGAGGAAATTGTTCATTAGACTTGATAAATAAAGATTTATTAAATTTTAATCATGCAAAAGATATATTTTTTGGCACCATGAAGCCGTTTAAGTACCAACCCACTTTGACATTTTGTTTTCATAACAATTATTTGATCATTATAAATACTTTTTTTTATATAAATTTTGTTTACAAAGTTGCTTTATATACTAAAGTTCAAGAAAAGTACAAAAATTTTTTTTTTTAAATAAGTGTTTTCTTGTAAAAGAAAAATAATCTCAAAACTGAATTGTGACTTTTTGTCCTGTGGCTTTTTGTCTGTGACTTTTTGTCCTGTGACTTTCTGTCCTACATTCGATAAGTAATACACGAGTTTAAGAAAAGTAGGGCTTTCTTTTTACCTTTAAAACACACATGTACTGATGTAATTAAACCTTATTAAAGTGCCTCTTGTATGCCATGTCTTTAAATCTGACAAAAATTTATTTAAATTTGATTAAAATAAATTTTTACTGTAACTTTGGAACACATTTCCTTTTTTAAAAGGTTATCAAGGATTGTTATGAAAGTTCTATTATCATGATTATATTAAATTCTTGTTTTAACAAAACAAAGGTGTCATTTTTAAAATTTTATAACTTTTTCAAATCAGCTTGGATTTTCATCAAACTTTTCAGCTATCTTTATTATATATTTATCTTACAAAATACCAGGTTGTTTTGTGTTTTGGTGTATTGTGTCAAATTTAAGGACTTAGTTAATAGGTAAAAAATGGCTAAAATTTTCAGTTTTGACAAAATTCAGATAGAAACCTATAATTTAAATATTTAAATTTGACAGCAATAAACAAAATTACCAAATAACCTGTTTTTTTGTATGATCAAAATATAATAAAGATAGCTGTAGATTTGGATGAAAATTCAAGTTGCTTTGAAATAGTTATACAAAATTTAGTCTGAACTGCAAATTCTAGCTTTTTTGAACTATATTAATTTAATCCTTAAATTTGACAGCAATACCCCTAACTACATAACGACCTGGGATTCAGTAAGATCAGTATATAACTGAGATAGCTGTATAGTTTGATGAAAATCCAAGTTGATTTGAAAAAAGTTATAAAAATAATTAAAGATGACTATCTGAATTTCATCAAATTTTTTTTTTACCTATTAATTTCTTTAATTTCACAGCAATGAACCAAACTACCAAGAAAAATTGGAATTTTGATAGATCTATATTTAATTTAGTTAGATGGACTGATTTACACCATATGTTACTTGTTTATTCCTCAATTAATCTTGTTTATTTTGTTGTAGTTAAATTTGTATAGACTATTTTCTACATTCATACATATGCCATAACAATATTGCTGTCCTATCAGTGCTGAAAACTAAAAAAGTAGAAGTCCTATCAGAAATTAAGTTAAAAAAATTTGTGTCCTACTGCGTTTTGCACCGGTATATTGTAACTGTTAAATTCACATTGCTAGATGTTCATGATGTTATTTTTGTTTGCTATAAATTTATCAAATAATTTTTTTTCATATACAGACATTGTTTCAAAAAGTTCATGTCCCATGCTTGCCAATAATGAAAAAACATTGAGTCCCATTCCTGTAAACACTGCAATTATTGTCCCATTACAGTTTGCACCGGTCCCATGCATCAAGAAATTTTGACCGGTCCCTAATATATCATTAAAGTTTTGTCATCATTTATCGTTTTTTTACGATTGGTTATAAATAGTGGAACGTTCAGCAGTACTCGGGTTTTACCGCTGCATACTATGAAAAGTCTGAGCATGCGCACTTTCAACGCTTGATTTTTAAAAACAGTGATAACCAAACTTGCAGTGAAATTTAGCTCGATCCAGATTCCAGAACAAAGAAAAAGGTAATATAATAATTGCACATTACGCCAAAAAGTTTCTCCATGATAAAAACAAGTATGATTGAAGAAAATAAAACATCTGTTGCCGTGTTGGGCGCCTCTTTCAAGTCTGTTGTCCGTGACCGTGTTGAAATATGATACTTCTTTTTTTACTGTCAATATATTGCACTGATACAAAATATTTTAGCCAACATTTGTGTTATTTGAATCCATTTTTCAAATTGCTCGATTAACTTGTGTTGTTTTTTAAGATGTATGAAATTAACTGTAGAAAGTAAAAAAAAGGGGAGTGCACAGCACAGCCACAGGCACTTGTTTTCTATCCATGCCAAGAGCTACTATCCCTATATATTAAGGCTGCAAGTGTCTTTTGCACTGTTATTTTTTGATAATGTTGGAAGCATAAAAGTCTTATCAATGTCACAAATGCGAAGCTAGACATCTCGGCACATTACAAACTCAGCCCATTACAAACTCGGCACATTACAAACTCGGCCTATTAATGATAATACTACATGTATCAGTGGTGGTCGTCCTGAACATGCATGAAACATTTGCCACTGGACGTTAAGCAACCAACAATCAATCAATGTATCACAGGGTCTGACATGCATGGGAATAAACATTTGTGCCAATAACGGCTGTCGTAGATAGGTGTCACAGAAAAATTAAAATACCCTTCCAAGACGTCATAATCATTTGGGACTAGATCGTCGTAGATAGGCGTCACAAAAACACAAAAAAAAAATTAAAATAGCCTTCCAAGACGTCATAATTATTTGGCACTAGGTCGTCGTAGATAGGCGTCACAGAAAAAAATTAAAATAGCCTTCCAAGACGTCATAATTATTTAGACTAGGATCCAGTCGGGAAAAGTTGGGTAAAATTTTCCTGTTTTGAGGGTAAAACCAAGTTTACTGGTGTTAGAAAAACCAGTATATAGGGACGTCTTTTTTGCTGTTCAATTTATGGTATGAAATCTAAATGTTTATCAATGACGAGCTGTATTCAACTCTCACTAAATATGTGATCAGAAACAATGTCGTAATCAATCATAAAACTTATGAATTTTGGAATGCATGTAAATTTGTCACTTACCTAGTTCTCCCAAAGATTTGTTGGACTGACACTCATGTAAACAGACGGAGGAATATAGAAGATAATTGAATGTATTTATAATTATTTTTCCAGAGTCTTGTATAAAAATCCACAGATCCAATGTGTCTGAGGTTGAAGAATGCATTGCAGTAACACTTAAGCATGCACCAGCTCATAAAGATGGACCAAGATATAAAAAGGTAAACATCAGTTGATCAGCTCTTTTTATGCCCTCCTTCACTGAGTGATATAGTTTTACTCTTGTTCTGTACGTACATACATTGAACTCAAAATTGGTTTCTGTTCTCTAACTTTAGTTTGCCTGAACGACATGTTATGAAATTTATACACAATGCTTATTATCATAAAACGCAGAGTTTGAATTTGAAGAGCATCTGTTTACTGTTCTTTAGTTATCTCCTTTAATAACATAATTTGTGGCTCATAGACACATGCTTCTTTTATTAATTTTATTTATCAAATTATAATTTGTTGATTTTATAGATTGCGTTCATTGGCATATGATATAAGGTCTTGCTGTATTGCTGTAAATTCTAAATGTATTAAGGTAAAATCCTATGAATATCTAAATTTAATTGATAAATAACCATATTGAGAAACCAAACTTCCTTTTTATATTTGGATTCATTATTATTTGTAGAATAACTACTGGTTGTTCCAGAAAATACTATGTCCCCCCAGGGAAGGCTCTTTTTTTTAAATTTTATGTGGGGGTGGTTGTATTTGAAATACCAAAATGCAAAGGGAGTGTTGTTCTTATTTATTTTTATACACCCGTTTACAGGACGTATTATGGTATACTGTTGTCCGTCTGTCCGTCCGTCATCAACATGTTGGACATTAACTCAAAACCGTTTTAACCAATTTGCATAAAACTTTGGTGAATTGTTTAATTCTATTGACGTGAGCTCCCTTTCGTTTTTCTATGAATTTTAGATTTTACGTTTCCGAGTTATGGGGTTTTATTCATTAAAAAAAGGGGGATTTTCCAGTTTTCGGAAAATAACTCAAGAATGCTTTCACCAACTTGCAAGAAATTGTGGTGAATTGTTTATATCTATTGACATGAGCTCCCTTTTGATTTTTATAAATTTTAGATTTTACGTTTCTGAGTTACAGGGTTTTATTCATAAAAAAGGGGGGTTTTCCAGTTTTCGGACAAAACTCAAAAATGCTTTCAGCAGTTCTTATGAAACTTTGGTGAATTGTTTATATCTATTGATGTAAGCTCCCTTTACAATTTTATAAATTTTACATTTTACATTTCTGAGTTATGGGGTTTTATTCATTAAAAAAGGGGGGATTTTCCAGTTTCGGACAATAACTCAAAAATGCTGTCAGCAATTCTCATGAAACTTTGGTGAATTGTTTATATCTATTGATGTAAGCTCCCTTTTGATTTTCATAATTTCTAATATGACATTGAGAATTAATTGAACTTAATTTGTTTATAGTCTGACAACAGATTTACTAAGTATTGCACAACAGCACAGTGTATTGCACAACAGCAAGAAATCTTTATATTAATTGAATATAAATTCAATTCATATAACCAATTTCAAGTTCTTTGACTACATTTATTCAGAAACCTATAATATGTCAAATATTTAATTTCAATCCAAATTCAGACCTGTATCAAGCTTGAATATTGTGTCCATTTTTGCCCCAACTGTTCATGGTTGGACCTTTGCGGGCGTATCCAGCTGCGCACAGCGAAGCAGTTTATTAATTCTGTCGGTGCTGGGGGTTAAAAAATGGTCGTCCCTGGAACAGCCATAATTTCATTAACACATGTTCAATTTAACAACAAATTTATTTTTTAAATAAGAACAAAGGTTAACCAAAAGTTATAAATCATTATATACAGTTGAAATTATGTTAAAATTTCTAACATACATTATCAAAATGTGTATAATTGGCAAAGATACAAACATCTCTGACCAGGGCCGTAGCGTAATGGAGGCAACTGAGGCAAATGCCTCACTTTTGAAACGACGACCAAACTTTAGAAGTGTCATTTTTTTTTTCAATTATGTATTTTACATTATCAATATGCGAGTTTCGAGTTTCAAATTATCTACCGGCACACTACATACAGTGTGTCCAATCTGCAGCAGCGATTGTAGCTTTTACCATAGCGGTGAAGGTAAAAAATAAGTGTTCCGAATACAAATCAAAATAAAAAAAATTGAAACACAAATCTTAATGTCGTTACAAAACTGGTTGAAGATGGGTTCTTTTAAGAGAAAAAAAGCAGAAAAAGGTAACTCATGAGTATAAACACCCCCTATAAGTATGCTGACTTATTACATCCTTGGTTTATTTTTGAATCGATAACGCTATAGTTACTAATGTTTACACTATGATCAACTCACTGAACAACAAATGCTAATCGATAAAATAATTCATTGACCAAAAATATAATAATTATTTATAATTAATTTAAACAAAATCATGAAGCGCCTTTTCTATGGAATCATTAACTTTAATATTGAAACTTGTTTTGTTACTTACAAGGCTAGCTAATAAAAAAAAACGCATTTCTGTTATATTTTTTTTGTTTTTTATTATAAATACATAGACCTCTCCCATGGTAATGCTGAAATAAGCTTCTCCCGTTTCAGGCACCCGTACCCCCCCTAACAAAAATTTTCGCCTCACTTCGCTCGGCTCAAATATTTTTTTGCCTCAGTTTATTTGGACATGCACTACAGCCTTGCTGACTCAGTAACAGCACAACATAATTATGAATCTGCAAGATTTATTATACGACCAGCAATAGAAAAAATATTAATTATGTTTACACACAGGATATTTTTTAAGAACTGCTGTAATTCATAGGTTGGGATCATTTTTTTTTTTGTATTTTATAATTTATGATTTTTTTTTTTCAGAGACCTGAAACCAACACAAGACCAGCTGATCAGAGGGTAGAAAACCAAAATTTGGAATGACATGTATACAACCAACACAAGACTAAAATTTGGAATAAAAATAAAAAAATTCAGAAACATATTATTATTTTTTTATTGGTTCATGAAGCCAAAAAAAAAGAAGTCTTAACTTTTGGATAGGTCTATCTCTAGTTGGTCAATGGAAAAAAGCAATAGTTAGTTTGATTGTATTTCAGGTAGTTTCTTCATTTGGGATATTTTTAGAAGTGTATAAGTTGTGTAGAATATATATTTGTAAATTAGAAAGTCAGCTTTTGGGCCTTTTTCCAAACTTTTTTCCTAGCTTGTCATTGTGTAGTGAATCCAGCTGAATGAATCTACAGTAAATATTAAGGTATATGTGGTAGTTTGTTGTATTTCTGAATAATTCATTAGAAAATGTTTTCCTTCGTTTAAGTGAAATCTACATTCTAGAATTTCCACCATCATAGTGAAATCTATATTCTAGAACACTGAAACCCTAAACATTCAGAAGTTGCAGCATGTACCAAGATGTCATGTTGAAGGCTGTACAGTTACCTATAATTGCTAACATCATCAATATTTGATTTTAGGATAGAGGGTTGTCTCGTTGGCCATCATACAAAATCTCCTTTTTCGAATAGTATTATGTGTTAAATATTTTAAAGGAAAGTTGTTTTTGTTAAATCGAAATGTGTTAATCTTGTACTTCAGTATTGCAAAAGTTAAAAACTAAGACTTTAACCTTAAACAACTGTGTGAAACATGAATTGGACAAAACTACAGGTTTAATGTAAAACATAATGCAAAGTTTTTGGGAAAACGATATATTTATACATTTGACATTGAAACCTGGCAAAAAGGTAAAAAAAAACTTTTGTGACTATATTATACACAGCTGGCAGTTTGGAAATAAGAGTACATATCGACATTGTGTCCATCTTTCCTACATAGACAAATTTACAACTTAAAAAACTGGTCAAAAGAATAAAATATAGACCTTGTTTACTTCTTCAATGGAATTTTATTGCTCCTATCAATCAAATGAGGACAAGGGACATTTACAGTTGTGTTGCGACGTTGTGACAACGTCTTATGATGGTAATAAATTACGTCACAAATTACGTTGTACCAACGTTGTGTGGATGGTTGTCAGCACGTGCCTTGGAGTCCACAAAATTACGTTGTACCAACGTAATTTTACTACGTTGTCACAACGATAGTATTACGTTGTCACAACGTAATGTCAACGTTGGATTGTTTACTGGGCATGCGAAACCTAGTTCAAGTTCAATAACTGCTATCACGTTAACTCATAAGCCATGCGAATCCAAATTTGCGAATCCAAATTCAAGTTATATCACTGTTATCACGTTAACTCAACCAACATGCAAATCTTATTCAAATTTTAGCACTGCTATCACGTTAATTCAACCGCCATGCGAATCTTAATTCAAGCTCAATTATTGCTATGAAATTCACTCAACCGCCATGTGAATCATAATTCAAGTCCAATCACGGCTATCACGTTAACTCAACCAATCACTGCTATCAAGGTAACACAACTGCCATGCGAATTCTAATTCAAGTTCAATAACTGCTATCACGTAAACTTATAAGCCATGCGAATCCAAATTCAAGTTCAATCATTGCTATAAAGTTCACTCAATCGCAAAGCGAATCATACTAATTCAAGATTATTCACTGTTATCACGTTAGCTCAACTGACATGCAAATCATAATCAAGTTCAAGCACTGCTATCACGTTAATTCAACCGCCAAGCGAATCTAAATTCAAGTTCAGTCATTGCTATAAAATTCACTTAACCGCCATGCGAATCATAATTCATGTTCAATCACGGCTATCACGTTAACTCAACCAATCACTGCTATCACGTTAATGCAACCGCCATGCGAATCTTAATTCAAGTTCAATCACTACTATCACGTAAACTCATAAGCCATGCGAATCCAAATTCAGTTCAATCACTGTTATGAAGTTCACTTATAAGCCATGTGAATCCTAATTCAAGTTCGATCATTGTTATCACGTTAACTCAACCAACATGCGAATCTTTTTCAAGTTCAAGCACTGCTATCACGTTAATTTAATCGCCATGCGAATCTTAATTCAAGTGCAATCATTTCTTTAAAATTAACTCAACCGCCATATAAATCCTAATTCAAGTTCAATCACTGCTATAACGTTAACCCAATCGCTATGCGAATCCAAGGTCAAGTTCAATTATGGCCATATCATGTCCAAAACAAACTACGTAAAGATCAAGAACAGTCTACAAAACACTTCACAGAAAATTTACTTAAAACACTAAAACCATTGCAAACTGGGGTAATTTGCTCCGGAAGGGTAATCAGATTATTTCCCACTAGTATCCCCCGTCATGTTACGTATGACAAGTGAAAGTAAGGAATTGAAAATAAATTAACCATTAAATGAGTATGAAAAAGTAAATCTAGAGTCAAACCGTTTTTCGAAGAATGGTACATTTGCAATAGACCATTTCATATAACCGACTTTTGACTCCGGGTTCTATAATATTTCGACAGGTTACCTACTCTGTGGTACATGTAGGACATCCTGGTACTCGGTCAATTACGAGCAACCAAAAGAAGTAACATCAAATATATAATCGATGCAATTTGGGGGAAAGTTTACTGTTTTCCGATGATTTAGTCATTAATCAGTTCACTTTCCCTCAAAATTTTACCGATTAAAATCTTGAATTTACTTATTTACGTTGCTTTTGCTTGACCGAGTACCAGGATGTCCTACCACAGAGAAGGATACCTGTCGAAAAAAAAAATCCGGATTCAGAAGTTGGAAATATGAAAATGGTCTATTCATTTTAACAATAAAGGCTAATGATCCATAAGAAAGACAAAACACTGAAATACAATCAATAAGTGAAGTTAATCTGTGGTAATGTGGTACGATTCCCAGAAAGACAACCAACACTGTTCAGACAATATAAAGATGTTTCGTTATCCAAAGATACATCAAGTATGACTTTATCTAGTAATGTAACTAAACAAGGTAAGGTTAACCACAAAGAGTAATCTTTAAATGTAATCAACCTTCTGACACAAGATTTAAATAAAATGTGTTTTGCAAACTTTGATAGACCATTGTATACGATACCCTATCAGTATTCGTTAAATAGTTTACAGTTTAAGTCAGAAATATGCATATGATAAAGGCGAGCCTATAATTATTCAACATGGTAATTTTTGTGATAATATAGATTTGAAATTAGTTCGGACGGTTTTTTTTTTTTGCGGTATGATAAATAACAGTTTAAAGCAACACACTTGAGTCCTAGCGGCTGACAAGCCTAATTTTTTTATATTAAAATTTATAAATTGTATATGCAAATGTCCTGTGCAGATTACAGCAAAACATTGAACCAAGTAAAGGTTGCCATACATATAGAAACACAAAAAGAGGCAAGTAGCAGATTTATTCCGATTTCCGGTGTGGTATGAGTTGATGGTTTATTATGTAAGAGACAAGTAGCGGATTAGTCTAGACTTCCGGTTGATGATTTATTATGTAAGAGACAAGTAGCGGATTAGTCTAGACTTCCGGTTGATGAATTATTATGTAAGAGTAAGTATTGCTACTTAGCAAAGAAAGTACTTTAAGAAAAGATAAGTGTATGAATTAGAAAAATATTGGGACTTTACTTCCTTGTTCTTGATTGCGCTTGCGCAGTATGAAGTATGTTCAAAATCATGAAGAAGTTATACTTTAAGTGCAAGACATTAATTTAATTTAAATCTCAGAACCGGCAACATATTTTACATGCTTCTGTCAATTGTTCGGATAATAAATTGTTTCTGAATTCGATAAAACTTTATAGCAGCAATCTTGACGATATTGAAAAAGAAGGGATCTTCTCCGGTGTGTGGAATAGGTTAAATGTCTACAGGCGTCATGTCATAGATGAAATATCTTTTTATTTAAACTCGAAAGTTAATCCACAAGAACTCAAAGTACAGAATACAACTCAATCCTATATATGTTCTAATGTGTATTTATATTTTCTACGTTTCTTATGTTTATATCGTTTAAATAAAAGTTCCATACATCATACGAGTACACAAGTATTACTTGATATTAGGGCAGCCTGTCAAGATGAACATTTTAACTCTAATGATTATTCCATCGCTGACACCAGCGAATGTTTAGTTGTAGCTTTATCAATTTGTGGATGCCAGGAACAAGCTAAAATTGTTTTCTCCTATATTAAAGAGCTAAATAAACCATTAAAACATTTCACTTTCGATCCGAAATTATTATTTTTTTTAATTGATAAACTTCACAAATTGACAGGAATTGAAATATTTTACAATGAGTCAATGTTTATCTAATTACACTTGTTGATGCTAAGACAATATGATGTTTATCCCAGAAGACACTAAAACGTTAGCAGCGAAGAAATAGACAATATATTCTGTGTTTTAAACTGTACAGCTATTCATCGTATTTATATTTTTAAGTATGTATATTTGACTATGATTTGATTTGAAATAAAAATAAATAAATGAATAAATGGCTCAAGTCAGAAATGTATAGTATTTCGTATTTGTACAATGGGTAAGAAGATGTGTTAAGATTACCAATGAGACAACTATCCATCTGAGACTCAACAACGTAGATGTAAACAACTATAGTTCACCGTAAAGCCTTCAACATAGAGCAAAACCTATACCGTATAATAAGCTTATATGCCCACATGACCAAACGTAACACAATTCATACCAGAAAACCAATGGCCTGATTTATGTATCAAACAATAAAAGAAAAACGTATATGATAAACAGCAACCAACAACAACCACTGAATAAAAGGCTCCTGACTTATGACAAGCACATAAACAATGTGGTCGAGTTACGAAACACAAAAAAAAAACTATCAAAAACACTTAAGACACAAAGTACAGATCTAAGAGTACTCGCAATTATTGAAAGCTAGTACAAAAGTAATAAATAAATTATGCTTCCCCATGCTAATATATCAATCAGTACACATCCAGTGGATTTAGTGTAAATATATTATAAACTGGGCAAGAAAAACATGTACAATGCAAAAATATAAGTATCGACTGTATGTAGGACCGTAAGTGTTTATAAATGTATAAGTATACACATTAAGGTATTTTTTAATTAACTAATAACAAAGTTAATGTTAGTACCGATAAAA